TCTTCAACGTAGATGAGGTTGGATTGTAATTGGGGGAATTAGTCCATAATAAAAACATAAATTGGTCTAATGACACTTTTAAACATTACAAATGATTATCTGCTTTTCATACAATAATTTAAGAAAACTGAGCATAGTTGTAGGTTTTTTAAGTCTGTGGTAAATATTTTATGTTTAAGTTAATTATCTGTAAAATATCAATGCACTTATTTTCCATTACAAAAAATATACATAGGTTTTGATGTATGGATTTCCTATTTCTGCCTCCTGTGAAGGAAAAAAAAAAAAGTAAAATCACAGATAAATCACATAGTACCATCACCAGGATATATCATGGTTCCCCAAATGAACACTGACTGTAAATATATTGAATCTCAATTCATGTTGTGCCTCTCGACTCTTCCTCCAGACTGAGAAAACATGATTTTAAATATTTGTCTCACCCCTTTCTACTCCCGCCCTGGGCAACTGCCCTTGCACCCCATTTCAAAAATCGACACTGCTTGTGAATGTCTCTTCTACTCTAAAATTGACTTTGTTGTTCATGCATCTTTTTTGGTGGCACTTCACTTTTTTTCTTCCACTAAACCTTCCGTCAACACCCAACTTTAGCAAAAACATTTTTGTGACTTAACCAATGACTGTCATCTGGACAACTGTCACATCAGCAGCTATTTTAGAACGTTTGCTAAATATTGGCTTTTTATTTATTGCAGCCACAGTCATCAAAATGAACAAACACGTGATATACATCACTGTGCAGTTCAATCACATCATTTTTTTTAAATAATATTCTAGTTTATTGAGGTAAACAATAAACTGGAATTTATTATTTACCTGCGATAGCTTTAAGGTTCCTTTCCTGACTGCGATGCTCTGATCCCCAACCTTAAAGCATGACATCATCTCCCCAGTCTGCGTGGGGCTGGCGTTCACTGAAACCGGCCCTGAATTCACTGACAGCAGGCGTCCGCATTTCGTCATTGTTTTGTTTTGCTTCAATCTATTCGAAACCGCATGGAAACACCGGGAATAAAGGATGTTTCGCCACGCTGCGACGTTTAGTCGTCATCTGCGAGGAGAAGAAGACGACGACTTTCTGAATGAACAACCGGTGTTCATTTACCCGCCCGAGCCTTTGGCACTCGAACGCACCACTCGCTGTGGATACCGCCGGGAAAATGCGTTAAACTAAATAGAAACGTTAGTCGTCTGCTGTCCCGTTGTTGCTCGTACAAGCCGCTTCTTATGGCTTTTACCAGCAGGGCGACATAAGGAGCCTCATCACGTCACATCCCGGTTAGACATGGCAGTCAGCACAACGGAGCCGCTCTGTCAGCCCTCCGTCTATCATGAAGATTTTAAAGGTAAGACTCTGCTTTATATCTGATCTCAGTGTAATATGTGGAAGAATTATAATTGAGTGTGGTAGAACTTCGTCCTACAGGCTTTGTCTGCTTCCCCAAAAACCTGACCACTCCCCTCCTGTCATCATCAAGCACCCCATAGAGGGTTGATGCATGGTCCCAGGCTTTGGTGACACCTCTCTGTGAAGCTTTACAAAGGAGTAGATGGTTAAAATAAAATAATAATAATAATAATAATAATAATAATAATTTTAAAAAAAAAGTAAAATAAGAAAATGTGCTGATGTGGTTTGGTTTGGTGTGGTCAGTGGAGCTGCAGGTGAGGCGACCTCTGATGCCTGTTCGACTGAGTCCTGAGCAGGTGGGGCTGGAGATGCTGTGTCTCTGTGGGCAACTGGACCTCCTCATCAGGGCGCAGATGCAACAGGTAGGCTGACCTCTGACAAACAAACAAACACACACTTAAACTAAACTGCCAGACTTCTATGAAGTAAAAAAGGGACAGCATGATAAATAATTTGATCAAACTGTAAAACTGATTGCAAGGAAATCTGTAAAAACTAAAGAAAAGAATAAAATGTCACAATAAGCTTGGTATACATGTGTGAACACCATGAAATAGTTTGTTGAGCCGCTTTCTTTGTCTTGCAAAGGTTCTCCAAATATAAATGTCACATCAAAGGTAGAACAGGTTTTAAAGTATTTATCTGTGTCAATGTTTTTACATTAAATTGTAATCATTATTATTGTTTTGATTTATTTTTTTTTAGATATTTTTACAATGTAAAGACTTTTGATACTGTCAACTGTACATATGTGGCATGCAATATCTCACACCTTCATCTGTAAAATTAGAGTAATCGTATCATCATAGTTCATATAGAATAAATTGGTTTTATGTGTGGTTTTCTTACACGTGAAGCTTAATTCTGGTTTTCAAATGTCCAGTTCCAGGAGCAGTTGGGTCAAGGCTGCAGCCCTGAAGAGTCGGACACCTTTCAGACCCAAGGTATGATGCCAACAAACCGTCGTGGGATCATTCTAGCTTCGCTAAACTCTCTGTATTTAATGTGTTTCTTCTCTACCCTCCCAGGATCAGAGATTCTTGACCAAATGCTGCAGTGCCTTGAACATCTACCAAAGCCTATGCCACAGCTAGAGGTATCACACCTAACGTTGTTACCCTAATAAAATATTTGATTTTTCTTAGCACGGATTCAATTCTCACGTGTTTGCTCAGGACTACCTGGACATGGTGGGTCTGTCTGCCATGTTTCCTCGTGTCGAGGTCTTCCTTATTCAAGGCAGCCCTGTTGATATGCTGGACCGGCCACTGATGGATGGTAAGAACATTTAAATCATTCCCAACCAACAAAAACAGAGCACTAAGTTATGTCTTTGCACTCCCTGGTGGCCTCATTGTCTCATCTTCCTAATATTTTCTATAAGAGTACAGTAACATAAAATGACTTCCACAATGACTATCGCTTTAAGGAAGCATCTTCGATGTTCACATGAAGCATCCTCTATGTTCACAAAAATGATTCAACAACCTCCTTCTTTCCAAAAGATGTTTTAAGCAAAAAAAGTCACTTTTGGTAAAAAAAAGAAAAAAAAAAAAAAAAAGAATAAATAAATACTTGGGCCATCATTTTAGGAAGGTGACTATATCCTCTCCATCCAGCCTGACTGAACTTGAGCTTTAATTTTGCAATCCAGGTTGGGGACCATTTTACATTTCAGGAGTATTAAAAAACACATGCACATCGTTCTTTTCCAATTTTTTTTGTTTGCAAAAGTCATGTATCATTTGCCATCGTCCTCATAATTATCTGCTGCTTTTTGCTGGCTTGTCACAGAAAATCTCATTGATAAAACACTGAAAGTTGTGATTACAGCGTAGAAAAAAAAAAAAAAAGGAAAAAAGTTCAATTTGTGCTCATACCGCGTTTCCTGTTGCCGTTCTGCTGCCGGCACCAACCTCCGCTTCTGTTCGTGCTACAGAATACTTCTTTCACGTCGCCAAACTGAACCAGCTGCTGGTGCTGAGTCAGCAGCTGGAGGAGGACATCAGGCACCTGGGTAGTCATAAATACATAGCCCACCAGCTCTCAGTTATATATGTAAGTGGGGTGAATCTGTCTTCTGCTTTCTTTGAATTGATTCCTCTCCAGTCTTCCAAACCGTTCTGCCTGTTTCCTTAACGTGTCTCTCTCTTTTTCTTTACTTCTGAAGCAAGTCATCAGCTCTTTCAAGGGAATCCAGGTCTTTTCAGAAATAAAGAAGGACATTGAGACCAACTTCAAACAGATGAAGCAGTCTCTGGTGGCGGAGGAAGGCTGCAGGCATGAGCCTCAGCTGACAGCTCATTACATCAGCTGGTGAGTTCCAGCCTTCGAGAAGACTATGATTAATCCGCGGACAATCTGATTAAGAGGCCATACTCTGTTCCCTCTTGTAGGATATTGGAAATAACGAAAGGCCTGACGTCGCTGGTTCTGTCGCTGCCAGAGGAGCTGACAGAGGACCTTCATCAGGCCTTCACCTTTGTGTCTCAGTTCTTGTCCTAGAAGCAGAGTCACCCCCGCAAGCATCCCGGTAACTCCAGTAAGGATCCGGCTACTAACTGAACCGAACCACGACTGACTTTTAAAAAAGGTGCTATTCCGTTTGATTCAACTCAACAACTGGACAGCCTAGCTTACTTGGAGATTTTTTGTTATTTTGTCGTTCTCGTGTTGGGGACTGAATGACAAGCTTGATGAAGCCACCCTTGCACTACTGTAATTACCAACTTAATTTTTTTTTTTAAATACCATGGAAGAATAAAATTAATTAAAATGAATCTACGACTTGGGTCAAATGTTTTGGGTATCCTTCCACAAGCTGCCCTCTAGCTAATTTCGTAATAGTTTGAATTATGATCCACTCTTTCGGACAAAACTGCTCTAATTGTTTTCACGCGTCTTTTTGGATATCAACACATAATTAAAGAGATAAACAAAACACTTAACGTATTTGCATGAACATACATCATTTCTTTTAGTTTTTTTTTTTTAATCTGCTTTATTTAATGGCCAAATGTTGAGTTTTCATTAGCTTTAAGCCATCAAAATGGACTATATTTGTTTATTTTTTATAAATGAACGATTTAGATATATAACTTGGAGTAATAAATCTATATAATACTTGAATTTTACTTAAAAAATGAATCGATGAAATAAAAGACGCCATTCTATAATCTGTTTCTGAACTTCTGACCGCCACTCTACCAAAGATGGGTAAATCGCTCCCCCTGCTGTTTAAATGATGTAAAACCAGGAAATACCATCACAGCTCCCGTCTGAATTGTCCTGTCGAGAGTTCTTAATTAAAAAACACACCAGGCAGTGTTTGAATCCTGCTACGAAAAACTCTGTAAAGTATTAGCAGAAACAGTAGCGCTATTAACTTTTATTTATGTAAACCTGACATGTTACTGAAGGCCGATGACGTATGTTGTAGCCCAGATGTGCCTCAGCTGTGACAGCAGAAAACCAACCCGGACGGGCGCGCGCGTCTGCCACCACAGCCGCAACGGGAGGGACGTAACAGACGCTGATGTTTCAGAGCAGCCTATCAGGTGTCAGCATTTCAGTTTGTAGCCAATCAGCTCGAGTTAGGCTGTCCGATAGCTTGACTGTGAGAGCTCTGTTCGACGACGGAGGAAATGAGAGGAAACCCTTTAAATTATTTGACTCTGACATGCCGCGGATTAAAACCGAAACATCTATCAGCATCACAAAGTCACGTACCTGTGCAATGAAGGTAAGTTTGGACAGTGTAACAGTCACCTACAGGTTATTGTCTACTTATTGTCATGTGCTGTAGCTGTTTTATCGGATTAAAGAAGCTATTGGTATTTCTTTAAAATTTCACGGATGGTAATTAGTTTTTTTTTTTAACGCACACTTAATATAAATTGTACAGTTTAACCACCTTACATCTGCTAAACTCTGATTTTTTATTTTATTTTATTTTTTGACTAATTGAGACTAACAGCTGCTCCTACAGAAAGAAGCGAAGTTGCGAGCTTTTGTTATTGTTTACGAACGCACGTTGTTGTTGTCTGCACAAGCATCCCTCTCATTACATCATGGTGAGTCCGGTGTGAAGATATAAGGAGGAGATGATACCAGAACCTTCTGCTGCAGCCGCATCCAGGTCTTCAGAGAAAAAGTAACTATTGGTCACCAAAACTGGATGACGCTATTTTGATGTAGTTTTAAATTTCCTTCTAGATTTATGTAATCAAATATGATTATGTTTTTTTTGTGTGTGTGTGTTTTTTTGTTTGTTTGTTTTGTTTGGTTTTCCAGTGCAAACTCTCAGGCTGAGGCGACCTCCTCTGGAGCTATCAGTCCCTCTGAGGATGAGTCAGGGAACGAGAACCGACAGAAGAGTGTGGTGGGTTTCTTCTGTTTTCCTGCAGAAATGCAAATGCAAAGCAAGAATAGAGTGACAGGACTCATTAACTAAAGTAATAGTGTGGGGATGCTTTTATAGATGAACACTGGCTTGCAAAATTATTGATTTCAATTGAACCTTTTCACATTGTGTAATTACAACCACATATATGAGGAAATTTCTGTGATATTTCCAGTACATTTAAAAAAAATGTTTCCAAATAAATAGTGTGATGGATAACTTGATTATACAATGGACTATAAACCTTTTAGAAGTTTAGTGATCCAGTTTAGAAAATATCTGTGAATATTTTTTACGCCATAGTTGATTTTTTTTTTTAGACTGTCATGAGTTTTAAATTTGAAATGTCAGTGTCATTACTGATAAAATGAAAATGTAATTATGTAGAGACGAAGAAGAAGAGCGTGCAGCGTCTCGGAAAATGTCAAGAGCAAAAGAGCCAGAGCCAGCGGCAGCAGCGTTCGAAGGGCACGGGGCAAACGCGCCAAAGAGAAGCAAGTGGAGGCAGTCACCCTGTTTGAGGTGATCACCATGGGCAAGAGCGCCATACAGGTAAGATTGCTTACCCAGCATACATTGCTGGTAGACATCTGCTTCAGTAGAGATTTTCAGTTAGGTAAGATGCTGTTTTAGGATGTGATGCAGGCCTTTGTTTGAAAAAGGCGGGTGTCTCCTTTTCAGTGGATGCCATATTTTCTTGTTGGATGGAGTCCCACAGACTTTGAAATGCTTTTAGGCATGCCGACTACAGGGGGGGAGTTCTGTTTCATTTTGAAATAATATTTTAAAAAATACTTCTTTTTGTTTTTTAACTCAGGACAATTCTTGGTTTGATATTAAAATGAGTTTCATGATTTGAAGCACGACAACAAAGCACAATCAAACGATGTCTGTAAGAGGGCAAATATGTCTTCACCTCAGTAAAGGTGAAAATAAAGTGGTGATAACAGATAAAAGGAAAACTGAGGCTCTTCCTATTAAACCAAGAGTTAAGTAAGAATATGTCCTAGCATAAATGAATTCTCTGATTATTATCTGGTGCCTGGACAGGCAGTGATCGATGATTGGATTGAGGCATACGTGACGGACAGAGACGCCTCTCTACTCGACCTCATCAGCTTCTTTATCCAGTGCTGTGGCTGCAAAGGCAAGCGATTCGTACACAAATGCACAATTTCAATCTCCTTCCAGCAGCCAGAAACACGCCAGACACACAGAACCGGTTTCATGTGTGCGTCCTTCGGTTTTCGCATCCTCTGCAGGCGCGGTCACGGCAGAGATGTGCCAGAGTAAAGAGGACAAGCACGTGAAGAGCAAAATGGTCGAGGAGCTGGATGAGGTAAACACCTCTACATTTTGTCCTGTCCTCTCCCCTGTGTGATTATAAAGAGAGGCTGACTCAAACAGATGTGGACGTCTGTGCGTTTCAGGCTGTTGGTCTGCAGTATAAGCGATTCCTTGCTTTTCCGTGGATTCTGACCGTCACCTGGCCCATGGATGCAGTCAGTACATGCTTTCTTTCTGTAGCAGATTTGTTGTGTCTGTAATCTTGATGATTTCAGATGATTGTATTTTTTAATACACGTCTGAGTTGCTGTGCTAAACATCTTTTCCTAGCAGTTATGTGGAACGTAAACGTACCACAACAATCTCGCCACTTTGCAATACTCTTCTACGATATAATGATGCTATTTGTCATTTTGTCACGCTCAAATCTCTGCTGCTCTGAGATGGAATCCTCTTCCTGTTTCCTTCTAAACTGTAGGACAGTGCAGAGTATCCACTCGTGCAGTCCGGGCCGTCCGGTCGCTGGTTTCACTCGGAGTTCTGCGACTTTGTGTCGGTGCTGGTGGCTCAGTGTCAGCACAGCGTCCTTTTTGACAGCTACCTGATGAACAGCCTCATCTCGCTGCTCACTGAGCTGTCCAACTCATACGTAAGGGCGTTCAGACACACGTGCACACTCGCGGGTAAGAGATGAGACGCACGCGGATGCAAATATGGAAGTCCAGCAGGGCCAAAAACATGATTAAATTTTTTTTTTCAAATTATTATTATTAATTTCTTCTATGTGCTTGTGTCAGATGTTTTGTTAAAATGTTATTTAAAAGTTGACTCTAACACATACTTGATAAGCAACATGAAAACTCTGCAAATAACGTGAACAAAGCCTCAAAAACACACACATCAGGTGGTTTTGGTCCGTCTGGCTTTCCACACACAAATGCGGTAATCATTAAATGATTTAACGTGGACTCTTTGATCTGAACGTGCGTGTGTGTGTCAAGCGGTGAAGTTGCTGAGCTCTCTGCTGAGCGTGGCTCTGAGCCTGAGCGTCGGGATCGAAAACAGTCAGAAGCTGTACAACGTGCAGAGGACGAAGACGGTGAGACAAAAGACCCAGCAACTGGAGAGGATGCAGAAGAAGATCTCGGAGGTGAGATCTGTGGATTGAAGATGCTTGGGGGACTGAATGCTTGCTTTGTGTGACTGAATAGAATTTTAACGCCTTCTGACGTCTCTAAAAGTTGCAGGAAAAGAGGGCGGAGGTCGAGAGCATGATGGACGTCATCTTCAAAGGGGTTTTTCTTAAAAGATATCGGTACACAACACTTCTTACATTGCCGCTTTCACTTTATTTTATTTGTTTAAAAACGTTTGTAGTGTTTTCATGTCGACAGGTAACACTCCGCATATGTTGTGTATGTTTGAGCAGGGATATGCTTCCAGAAATTCGCTCAGTCTGCATGGAGGAGTTGGGCTTGTGGATGAAGCTGTACAGTTCGTCATTCCTCAACGATAGTTACCTCAAATACATGGGCTGGATGATGCACGATAAGGTCAGCGGCTGCCTAATTACAGGTGATTCAAGCAGCTTTTCAGATCCTGAAAACAAGCTGAAATCTTTATACGTCACATTTCAGGTACCGGATGTGCGTCTGAAGTGTGTGTTAGCTCTGCAGGGTCTGTTCGGTGATCCTGTCCTGCTCCCTAAACTGGATCTGTTCATCAGTCGCTTCAAGGTAAACGAACTCCCTGTTTAAAGCCTTCAGCTGCACACTATGTCTTACGAATACCTATATCTGGCCCACAATGCAAAAATATTCACACCCCTAGAACTTATTTGTATTTTATTGCGTCACAACTGCAAACTTTAGTGTATTTTTTCTGCGACAGCCCAACAGAAAGTTGCACAAAACTGTGGAATTGGAAGAAAAATATGACTTTGAAAGCTTTGTATGAGTTAAAAATAAAAAAAGTGAGGTGCCTTTAATCTGATTCCCCTTAAATAAAATGGAGTGCAATCAGTTGTGCTAATTGGTGGGTAGAGTCAATCTGTGTGCAGTTTAATCTCAGTATAAATACAGTACGGAGGTATGAGGCATATTAGAGAAGATTAATCAGATTGTAGAATAGAGTAGATCTTTGTTATCGACCAGAATGAGAAGTAGCCAACAGGCCAATGGTTACTTTGGAGGAGTTGCAGCGATTGACAGCTCAGGTGGCTCTATCAACACAAACTATCAGTTATAGACTCAGTAAATCTGGCATAAATGGTGGAACTAAAGGAAGAAAGCTGGTTGTTGGAAGACACCTACTAGGCATTTATGCTTACTCAGGGGTCTAGGAACAAATACTTGCCACACTTTTCACTCTTTTTAATTTTGTAAGAAATAAACATATAGTAAAAAAAAAAAAATAGAAAACCAGTGGTCCTTTATCTTTCAAATTACAATTTTGCACTCCTTTGTGTTGAACTGTCACATAAAATACCAATCAAAACATTCTAGAGTTTGTTGTTGTAAAACAACAAAAAGTTTAAGAGGTCAATACTTTTGAAAGGGATATATTTAATATTAGTACTTATTTAAAAATAAATCCCGGGATATATTAAAATAAGAACTATGAAAATATTTGATCAAAGCTTTCAGTTAAAATGTCCATATAACTCCTTGAGGTCCAAGCGTCCTTTATCGTCATTGCTCATTCTCCGTCCCATTGCGTGGCAGAATCGACTGATCTCCATGGTGCTAGATAAGGACAATGAGGTGGCAGTGCAGACCATGAAACTATTGGTGCTAATCTCCAGGTAAGTTATTGATTTCTATTTTCTTTTTGTGCTTTTTGCTTTTTTCTCCTCCCTTCTCATAATCCTTCTCTCTCCAGAGCCACAGACGACGTGCTGACGTCTGAGGACTACAAGCAGCTCCTTCAGGTCGTTTACTCCTCTCATCGGCCCCTCTCAGCCACCGCAGGGGAGCTGCTCTACTCAAGGTAAAAACGCCTCCGTCGCTTGGCTAAACGTACTAATTACTTGTTTTGACAAAATCAAGAGGCGCCATTGGTCTGTTTCAGGATTCTCAGTGCTGCAGCTCCTACCTCTGATGATCAGGGTGAAAGGAGCGAAGAGGACGAGCGAAGACGACAGATGTTTGACCGACTTAAAGCTTTACTGCGGTTTTATCAGGAGTCTGAGGTGACAGGTTGTTTTTACATTTTTTTTAGTTTATAAAAAAAAATGCTTGTTGCATTTCATATTTAATGGATGATTTTTTATGTTATTTTTTTTATCACGTAAACCTTCAGCTTCACAAGCATGTCGTTTACCTGGTGGACAGCCTTTGGGACTGTGGTGGGTCTCTGCTGAAAGACTGGCCCACACTCACAGCTGCACTGCTGCAGAACAGCTCAGGTAGGAAAGCATGTGTGTGAGTTAGGGGGCAAGAAAACTCTTCAAATCTGTCAGTAGTTACAGAATTTCATAGGATTTTACAATATCTTACTAATATACTGTACAGGTGTTACTCAAACCGTGGGTGTTTTTGTGTTGTAGGTTTTACTCCGGCAGAACAAGCGGTGATTGTGGAGATCCTGGTTGCGTCGGTACGTCAGGCCACAGAGGGGCCAGCTCTGGTAGGGAGGAGCGGGGCCAAGAAGGTAAAAAGAAGGCTGGATGATATCTCTCTTTTAATCTGGTCAAACATTGCGGCTTTAAATTTGAGCTTTGTTCACTAACAGATCATGAGCAATAGAGAAAAGAAAATTCAAGCTGACGACTGTCTAAAGCTCACTGAACATCTGTTTTCTGTGCTTCCCAAGTTACTCTCCAAGGTATTTACACCACATGCAGCAGTCCATGCAATAAGCTCAGTTCACTCCATGTGGTAAAAAAAAATAAAAATAAAATAAAATAATAATAATGTGAATTATTTTATTGTGTTTCTGCAGTTTTCATGTAGTGGCGACACTGTTGCTTCCCTGATGCGGATTCCTCAGTACTTCCACCCAGACAGTCAAGAGGCTAAAAACACACAGGTCTGCATCGTTGCCAGATCAATATTGTATAATAAAATATTTTAATCTGCAGTGTGTTTGGGTATAAAACAGTTCGTGATAAGTGAGTTTAAAAAATAAAAATTAAAAAAACTATTATTTTTAAAATGCGGGGGGAAAAAAAGTGTTTCTAGTTTACCTTTTAAACAACATCTGATTTCGTTCGTCTCGTCAGTCCTCTGCAGAGTTCTTCAGTGTTTTTGTGTGTTGACTTTCAGTACTGATAGATTTTTTTTTGTTGTTGTTTTTTTTGTAAAATTACATGGAAAAGTTAGGCAATAGGAGCTTTAGGAAGACAACTAATCAAATATCATTTCTGGGGTTTTTTGTTTTCGTGTCTTTAGTTGATGGCATAACCGAACAAAAATAGTTCATAACCATTTTGTATGATGCCATTTGTGCAGTCAGTTTCAAGCCTGATGACAGAGATGGCAGCTGTTTTGGACCTTCACTCGGGCCCTGCGGTTCTGGAAGCAGCCGCTCGAACATACCTCAGTCTGTGTGGCGATGGCGCAGCCTGGGCCGTGGCGGCCGGAGCCTCACGGGACTCTCTGGTCCAGCGCTGGGTGGACCGACTGACAGAGACAATTGGGGAGTCGCTCAGGGTAGGCGTCTCGGTTCCCCTTTGTGCAGCCAAATATATATTTTTTGGAAAATTGTTGTGCTCAGACGAGCCGTCATCTGTTTTTAGTTCCATACTTTTGTCAATTTTAGATTCTGAAGAGATAAGCAAGCAGTGGCCAACATGTGCGCTCAGGGTTCCTATGCAATATTTAAAAGTCTGGAACAAGTTGGGCTTTATGATTTTCCAGGGCTTGATAAGTATGGGGGGGGGATGAAAATGTGTTATGGGAAAATGTTTGCGGTTCCAGGCTTCAGATAAAAATCTGAATTCCTGAAAAAAATATATATATTTTTTTGCTTGAACTCGCATTTAAGTTGTCATTTATCTTTAATTCACCACATCACAACTTGAGTCTTTGTCCAGTTTGATTTATCCGTCTGTATTTTGAATCACAGATAAATGCACACAAATTTCAATTAGTTAATTTATATATATATATTTTTAAATTAACAGCTGTTTTGGACTCTGAACTTTCTTAGATCAAGGATATCAATTACACATGTATTTGTTTTATGCATTGAAACCCTTCTTGTTTTTTATCAAAACAGATTAAATCTTATACTAAAGTTACATACATTTTAAAATGTAAAATAAACATTTGGAAAGTCTAAATGTTATGGATTTCTAACTAGAGCTGATCTAGTTATATTGAAAAAAAAGAGCCTTGAATAAAAAATACAGATTTTTTTAGTGGAATGTTGTTCAGGAACTATTCACACTTCCAAAAATCACTTGGTTTTAGAAAATAGAAGATCTGTGTAACTGACAGGCCTCAATTTTTTCCAATAATTTAATTAGAGAAGTCTTACGTTTTGTTCACAAGCGTAGAATTGATTTATTTTCTGTGAAATAAACAGTGAATCCTACCTAACTCTGTAGTTTTTCTGTTTATCCGCTCTCTTGCAGCGCGGCTGTTTTTCTGCTGAGGAAGACGAGACGAGTCAAATTGTAGCGACACTGAAGAAACTCAGAGCTTTCCACAAGTGAGATTTGACCGACGAGGACGCGCAGCGAACTCAACAGTTTAGTGTAAGCTGCTTCTAAATCGATCCTGGTCCAACCTGTCTCTGTCTGCGCTGTTTTAGCTGTCATGACCTCAGTCGATGGAGCGTGTTTGAGCTGCTGTCTCCTCTCCTGACGGAGGACGGCAGCCTGGGAGGACCACCGCCAGAGGTACCGTCATTAAGTCACCGTAGACACTTTTTGATGGTTTTTGTTCTCAGCGTTTTGCTCTGATCAGGTGTTGTTTCCGCAGGTGCTGGAGGAGGCACTGCAGTGCATGTCGTTTGCCATGCTGTGGTCCCTCAGTACGAGCAGCCAAACTCTAACATGCAGGGTGAGTTACATCTGCACCATGATATCCATGATCAATCTGAATCCTGCTTTCACTGTAGCAGTGTACTTGAACTTCTTTGTATGTGAAGACTTGTTATGAGTAGGGAACTTTCTTTCTCCAGTTAAAATGTACATCAAGAAAAATACTGTACTGTTTATTTGGCTCTGATTACTCTATATTCTTTATTTTAATTGTAAAGTTTAAATGCACACATCATGGGCATGGATTCCATGTTAATTTAGATTTTTTTTTTTATCATGTATTTGAAGTGTTGTCTGGATGGATGATGATGATGCGTCATTTCAACGCATTTTAGGTATTAAAATTAGATTTATTGACGATATTTTTAGGTCACATATAATGAAAACTTCACATAAGGATTCAGTTTAATGGGAAAATCGATCCCCATTGATTTTCACTGGTGATGCCAAACTACAGCAACACATTTCCGGCACGATTCTAACTGGATATTTGACTGCTGTTCTTGACAGAAGCGGTAGAGTTCATTTGAACTGGTTCGTTTTCACGATTCGGTTCCTCAAATTCCAATAGATTGGGCGTTAATGTTAGCCAGCTTCGTTTACTCCAAAACCGGTTTAGATGTGCGTTTGGGATCATCGTGCTGTGGGAACATCCAACTTTCTCCAGCTTTCAACCATCTAGCTGTCAATTTGCGATAAAAAAAAAAAAAATCTGGAGGTATTCCTCCTTCTTAAGTATTCCATCAGCTTTTAGAATGCACAATTCAATTCTATTCAGTAAAACCTTTATTTGTCCCCAAGGGGCTGGTCAAACACCGACATGTTAAAAACAGTCGTAGGATTATCACGATGCCGCCGCCACCGTGCTTGACAGCCGATAAAGTGTTCTCATGTGTGAAAACTTCAGGTTCACTCCTCCGTATAAACTCCATGTCATAACAGCCAAATAGTTCAGTGTTTGTTTCCATGCGACTTGCTGTGAACGGTTACAGTAGTCCGCTGTTTGTCAGGTCAATGCAGGCTTGATTCTCACTAAATTGCTTTCATTTGAGGATGAAGTTTGGAAATCAACCAGTTTAAAT